TCGAACTCGGAGGGAAGAATGTACGAATCTCCGTTTGAATCTCTGTCGCATCAAACACAAATTGGTTGCGGTGTCTAAAACTGCGATCAGCGATTCCGTCACATGTAAAAAAAAATAAAACCTGTTCAAGGTCGCCTTACTATGGGCCTACAAAGTACAAAGGCGACAAAAAGGATACGAAAATAGACATCGTCCTTTTATCCTGAATTTCTCTGTATCGGCATTGTTGAAGCGAGACGTTCCATTCCGGTGAAGCACTTTGCTTTGAATCTTTTTTATGTGAAGTTTTATGTTCGAAATTGCTTAAACATATTCGTGTGCTATAATTAGCGAAAATAGGAGCAATGAGTTCAAGGTCGTTTGATTTTGAAAATTGCAATGCGGAAGATTTGACTCTATTAGGCAGTCCGAGCAGTCATAAAATATTTCTACTATGTCCGTTTCACGCAGTTTGGACGCTTTATTATTTACAATAAAATGTTTCCCTTCAGAATGTAAGCTGCTATCGATAAATGAATTAAAGGGGACCGCGATTGTACCTCACCGTTTTAGAGGACAATTCTGACTTCCAATAGTTAAGGAAACGAAGGCCGCAGCGGATATGAACTCTCTACAAAATCCACTGGGTGTCCGTTTGGTGACGTTTTCCGTTTTAATTAAAAGTCTGACCGCGACCTGACCGCCTTTCCTTTGTGCTCTCGTCCATTTCACAGTTGCAATCAGCACTCTCGCGATAATTACAAAAGAATCTAGTTAGGGAATTGAATATTCCAATTATCGTTTGTTGCGTGGAAGGAGGTGTCGCCTCGTGAGTGTGTCGAGGTTTTGCCACGTTGTGTATACATGGGATTATGGAATTATGTTATTATATGCTTCTGAAGAGGGCACCTCGAACAGGGTGTTGGTGCCATAAATGCAATTAATGCTTAAACTGCCCTAGATGCAATTGATTCTTTTAATGCCGTACACCAACGGAAGCGTAATTTTTGCTGACTGTGAAAGAGGAAATCGAGATCCGTGATTAAAAAAAGGCGAATAAAGGACGAAAAAACATTTTTGCTACCATAGCCAGACAAAGAATCGTGGAAGGAGGGAGTTCCAAATGTGCACCAACGAGGACGCAGTTTGAACCTTCTATTTTGTCACATCATTCATCTTTTGAAGTTTTTTTAAAATATTACGTTCTTATTCAGCCAAGCATTCAAAAATATTTAGGAATTCAGATGTCTCATCAATGGCAAAAAAATCCATCGGTTGTTCCAGAGTTAATAGGACGGAATGTATTTAATTTACATTTCATTCTGAAAAAAAGGTTGTACTATAAGAAATATTCTGAAGTAATCTGCATGACTAAAAATATCTCCGTAACAGCGAAAACAATATTTAAGTTTTATTCATTTATCCAAAGTCACCGGCTTGACAGCAATTGTCAGTTAATAATGCTACTCCTTTAATCCAAAAGAAGTCGAATCAAGAAAATTTACAGTTCCTGCAATTCAGTTTCTGGAATTACTTTTGCCATAAAAACACTTATCGTACTGTCCCAGTCATATCATATTTTATTTTATATTAGCGAATAATTTCTGTGAATCTCTCACTAAAAGACGATCAGGATAGGTACGTTTTATAACGAGAATTTCTTTCGATTATTAAATGAGAAGAGGTCATAATCGCAAGGGGTAAATTTTCCGAAGAGACACTTTAGGTAGAAAGAGCCGGCAGTAACCAAGGCTTACGATGAGCCGCACTTGAAGATAATTGATCGGCAAGTTGCCCTCGAAGTCATAATGGAAACCACTAGGAACGTCGTTAAGCATCCGTACGATATGCTCTTGCTCTATGCGAGGAACTTTATACAAGCAATTGAGCAAGTTTCAGAACAAGAGAAGACGTTGATCCTTTGGAGAACCAGGATATAACGAGGACCTACTTACCGAATGAATGAAGATGAACGTAACAATTGTTCAGAAATATGCAGCATTCCCTTGGTTCAAACATTTTGAAATCTTCCAAAAAGGATCCCAGTAAATGTAATCGTAACAAAGAGGAAAATACTTTCTGGCTTCGTTCCAACCCCAAAAAGTGTATCAAAACGTTCTCCGATTTTTGGTGTGCCCCAAAAGACGAATAACCATGTAACGAGGAAAGCGTCGTTACTAGTAATTAGAACTGTACGCTTGATAGGCGTCACAAAGTTGTCTCTCGTTTGTAATATATTTTCTCGCATATTTTTATTTCTGCCCGACTGTTTCAATTACTCGTTAATAAGGAGAGAAGGCGAGAGTTTTGAAACAACGTGGCTTTTTGAACTGCGGATATCGGTTTTATCAATTTCCAGATGAGCCGCAGGTGTTTCGATATAGTTAGGATGCGATGTCCATCATCCCTTGGTATATTGTTTACCGCCTGTTCGGTCGAGAGTTATTTAACGCCCGCGGAAGCTGTCTTACGTGATATGCAGTTAAGGTTAATCCGATGAAACACGCCGCAATGGGATTTTACGAATTGTTAATTAAACGGAATATGCATAGCTCTCTTCCTGAACCGATGACAGACACGAAGCACACAACCCGGAGTTGGCTAGTGCTTTATGCGCATATATTCGAAATTTTAACAAATTTAAGATACCCTTTGTGACGACGCAAATCGTGACAATACCGTAACAAAAGAAGGCGTGAGCTCGATATTCCATCTCCGGAGTTTCTCGACCTTTTCCAAGGATATTCTTTCTTGATTCTAAAAAAAGGTAAAATGAAGCGTGTTTCTCAGACGAAGATACGACTATTTTATATGCAATGAAATTTATAAGGTAATCCCATCGTTGCTTTTACATTAAATCGAAATATAAATTATATTTTTGTATATTCGCTCACCTCAACTCAACTAGTAAGATATAGAACCAGGCATAATGAAGAAATACAGTTAAATGGCAGATATTAAAACCAACCTACAGATCTCACCGTATCTCCAAATATCACTCGATCGATACAATTAGACCACGTACATTTTGAAGCCGGATGTTGAACGTTCCTCGTATAGTCACCATTCCTCTACTTCCTCTGACTAGATATTTTCTTCCCTTTAAATAGCGTTTGTGGAACATACCACGGACTCCCGAAAGACGAAATTCAATGAAATACGTCATGAATGTATTCACGAGTGGGCACCCCTTCTCCCTCTTTCTCCCTATACCTTTAAGGGGGTATTATCGTTTAGAAACTTCAAAAATTCGATTTTTTTTGCATTTTCTTATAGTTTGGAGTTCTGAGAATGTGTCTCGATAATATTAATTTGAAATTCGTAGAACTCCCATAGTTACAGTGGCTTAACCCCTTAACTTGTGCACTCGAGTTAATTCGAGCTAAACAGACCAAACTGTATACACTCGAGATAATTCGAACGGCGTTGTATTTTATGCTACTATAATTTTTCACCCTCGAATAAAATCGAGAATTTTATTTTTTTGCCAAGACAATGTTCTCGTATTTTTTTTACATAAAAAAAATGATTTTTTTTTGCCGGTGTTTTTCAAAAAATCTGTGCGTTAAGGGGTTACGGTGAAGTGAAACCCCCTTCAAATCAGTCGATTCGAATACAACACTTTTCTTTAAGGGTATTAGATCAAACTGTCCGAAACTTTGACACATCACTCCTGATCAACTAAGAATTGTCCTGACACATTCAAAATTTGGATTTTTTTTATATTTTTTAACTTAGCCCAGACTAGAACCAAAATGGCGTCGAGCTCTCATATTTCGATCAATATACAATTATCGAAGGCTCTGATATGAGAGTCGTAAGAGTCAGGACAATTTTACGACAATGTAGAACACTCTGGTAATCGTTAAACTCGCACTTGAACAAGATAAGGGCAAAAAAAGTATTGTATGCGCTTCTATGCTAAAACGATGATAATACGAGGTCTCGGAGTGAAAATTTAATCCACCTGGATATCACGGATGGCGCAGGGGGTCCCTCTGCAGTCAATAGGGCCTCAGAAAGCATTACTCCAGAGGACTTCTGGAGTTCTACTTCGATTTCTTTATAACTATTGTACGAAAACGACAGGTATGCCGTTTGATACAATACCCAATATAATTCGACGCTGCTGTCAATATAAAAACGAACGTCGGCAACGTAGGCATTTAGAAAAATCTTCTTTATCAACGTTGATCAAGTTCCTCGACATGTTTCAGTTCACCTTAAAGGCTGCGGGGCGTTGGGGTGCGGCAGGTAGTCATCCCCTCGACCGTTGTACCTAGACCGTTTTGTCCATTGTGCGGCTCAATATTCTTTGATATACTTTGAATGCTCTTTTAACTAGGAACGAGTTGCGTTATCGAGAATCGCTCCCATATGAACATCCGTGAACGTTTTATCTTTAAAACGAGGACTCGTTGAAATCAATCGGTTGAGAAATACGTTCAAGATCGTTGTCCTCGTGGAGTATCTTTTTCGTGATTTTCGGGTTCCACGCTAGGAATTTGAGCTCTCCTTGACAACCGGTGCCAAATCTAGGCGGAGCGTCCAACTGGCGTGTGCGTGCGTCCGAGTGACACCCCCGCTTCGATGCCAAGTAAGAGTCGTTCAGCCGCTGCGTGAGTCCTATACGCGTAAAGCATATACATATTTTTCGATCGTCGCTAAACACCGCCCATGTTGTGTCGCGTCTTACTTTACGAACGAGAAAGTACGTTTTGGTTATCTCCCACCGAATTTGATGTTAATGCCATCTAGCGGTGGAAGTCATCGTCCCCACTTTGGTGGTGAACGCCGTTAATGTTCCAATTTAACGGGGACGCTCGACCTGCTTGTTTTTCCAGGTGACAATGGTGGGCCACTGAAGAAATAGGCCGCAGTCGAAGAAGCCCGGTTTTCCAGGCCACCCCATTTCGGAAAAGGGGTTCCAGAGCTCGAGTTCATTTTCCCGGCGGCGAAAGGGGGTGGAGACGTGGTCGTGAAAAATAATGAAGGCCCTGGACGCTTAAGCCGGATCGAAGATGTTGGTGGACGAATGCGGAAGCGGCATCGGGTGGACCGCAGGGGTTCGAGGGGGTTGGTCCACCCCGGGGGGATGCAGGAATTCCTCGATGAGCTTCGGGGGTAGCGTGCCCTCCCTACATCCGGCTGGGTCCTTACGGTCCCTCAGGTCGCAACATTCCATTCAGGTGAGAACGGAGAACTTCTGCTCATCTTCGGGAACTCTGCCCCTACCTCCACCCCGGCTTTCATCCTTCGCGTCGAGATGAAAGGTTCAATGGATCCTGAACGCCGGGGGCGGGGCTTAAGGACATAATGCTTCTTTCTCCGCGAAAGCTCCGTGTTTCCGTGTTCCCGTGTTCCCGTGTAGAACCGAATTTACATCATCTCTTTGGAATTCCATTCTTTTACCCCTGGCGTTAAAATTTTGTCGAGCCTGGTCCAAACCCTACGAACGGGTTCAGGATTTTCGGTGTCGCGCTCCAGACTTCTGTGTACACGAGACCAAGGATTTCTAGAGTTACTCTTGACGCAATGAAACGTGAAGTAAACACGAATTATGCCCGGTTCCCCCAACCGCGGTCAAAAAATTAATCCTTGGTTACAATGAGCTAGACGTTCGACCACATGTTAACGGCTGGTTAACTTTCATTAACCGCCGCTTGGATCGTTCAACCAAATTCGATCGTTTAGCCTCGGTTAATCGAACTTCAACCTACAAACTGCACAAACGTTTTAATCCATGATTACCTTGGATGTTAGCTTTAACTTACGGTTAAGTAATCAATGATTTAAACGAGGTTGGTAGAACCGGGCATTAGTCTCGAATTTGTGTAACACAGCGCAGGACTTATGTTGTAACTCCTTCGATACGGTATACTTTCAACGCATTGGCTAGATTCGACAGTGAAAGGGTTAAAATGTGTAATCCCTTCGTTAATTAATCGCGAGCTAACTTGCCTTTCTTAAAATTACATTTAGGAGATGACACTTTTCCGCGCTGGGAATATTCGGGGTGGACTTTAAGTGCTCCTCTTCTCTCCAATCTGCGCCTCGCTTTAATGTCACGGCGAGTTACGCTCCCCTCGGCGTGTTAACCGGGGCTAACGAGCGTTTCTTTCCAGCCGCACCCGGAGACACCCCAAAGATGCCTGCACTGCCACCCGGTTCACGTGTCCACCCCCAGCAGTTACATGCAGCATCCCATGCAGTTCTACACGCCGAGTCACTGCATGGACGGCCGGAACGGCAGCTACACCCCTCACCGGGGCAGCTCCTACCACGGGGGTAAGTAGCTTGCGCGCGCACCCGTTAATTAGCATAATCACCGAGCCCGCTGCACTCCGCGTCGTTGACCTTGTCCCGAAGTGCTCGGTGCGCGGGTGCGCGAATCTCGCTGACTCGGAAACGGGGCTCACCCCCCCCTGTGGGGGCCGGAAAGGGTGACATTGCCTCCTTCCGCGTATTGCCAATTTACATGCGCGCCCCGCGCGCGTTTACTTTGCACCCGCGGCTCGACAAGACCGCGTTAATCTGCATATGCGATAGACTCTCGTATCACGGCCGAGGGTTGGAAATGGACATTCACGGACCTTTTCGGAGGCTGCTTCTTCCCCCACGCGGGACGTATTAAAATGTATGCCGATACTTGTTGGACTCCATTGATGAGAAGCTGTGCGACGTGTCCTGGCGTTACAGTGGATCGTTAACCTTCTGTAACTCCACGGTCGCATACGGGTATGTCGATATTTTTCAACTTTCATCCGATCGTTCCGGGTAAACTCAACGTAGCGCCTGATCAACGTGCCACTCCTCTTCAATCGAAGAATTTCTTTATAAATTGTACATTTGTCAACGTGATAATTTTTACAAATTCGCAAAAATTGGAAATTTACGAACCAGCTATTAGTTGATTTCGGAAGATTAATATTTGGGAATTTGGAGCTTTTTCTTGGCTTGAGAGAAAAATGGTTTACGGAGAGATAACTTATGAATTTTTAAACCCATAAATACGAAGAGTTCAATCTTCGTGTCTCTTGGAAGGCACGTATAAGTGGCAATTTGCGCGCCTAAGAGCATTCGCGCAAAAGATTCACCATCGGATTAGCGATTCCTTCTGAAGGTGTCGTTTTCCTATCTTCCCGAGAACCGAAGTCAAGAACGCTTGGCAATTTTTACTTGCGTTATTTTTAAAACCGAAGCGTAAAAAGTCTTCAATTTCCCTCCGACGTTTGCAATGCGGTTTGTACTTCGTTCTTCATTACTCGGTGGTTCTTATGCCATATTGAAGGAATCTCTAATGCGTTTGCAAAAGTTGCGAATATTCAATTACACGAAATTTCGCGGTATTAATGGCAGACAGGCCAGACAGGTTTCCAATGCTTAGAAATTAAAATAAAAATAATCCATCAAATACATTTCTCAACTTCAATGCGTTGAAAGCGCCATAAAATGGAGGAGTATTTTTTAATTACTGAGACGCTTTTCAGATTATTGTAATGCCTTCTTTGAGACCGATTCAAGCAGAAATTACGAGATCAACGAGTACACGAGTTTCCCTTTTTTAAAAACCCACCTTGTTGTCCATGCAGCTCGCCACCCGGGTCAAAGTATGCAAAAATGCACGACACAGCCTTTTTGTCGGTCCGTGCCAGCAGGTGAGCGCAACAATAGGTCAAAGCGGAAGAACGACATGGAATTAATGAAAGCTTTGGAACACGCGCTACGCCGCGAGTTCCGTTTTTTGGATAAAACCGCGCATCGCTGCCTGCAGATGGCCGGATGAAATTAGAGCTGCAGAGGCTAAATGAAATTAGAGCTGGACCGGTTCTCCTGCAGCGTCGATGCTTTTAGCTCCTAAATACACGGGCTTCGATGGGGCTCGGAATTTCGTGATAAAGGGAAGTTAATTTCGATTTATCTCGCTTCGGTGGCCCTTGAGTAATACCGGCAACTTTTAATTACCTTCCGGGTTATTATCGAACGAGTTCGACCATCGATACCGATACTCGATGACAGTCATCTGGATACGTATGGTTCGCTCGAGTGCCGATACGTTTCCTAGACCTTTTATTTCTTTGTGTCCTAAAGCTTTTATTTATTTATTTCCTAGATCTTTTATTTTTTTAGTTTCACTCGATAAGTGGTCGCCGTACTTTCGTTTGTCCGATGCGATCAATGGGTAGCGATGCTAATAGGACTAAAAAAAGGGAAAATATCCGACTTGATTCTTTTTATCAATATAAACGGTGTCGCTTTGACAGAAATTAATATCAACCAATAACTGCTGGACAAATACGTCTTTTATTCAGAGAGAGAGGATGATGGTTTTTCGATCAAATTAATGGAAACGCGTTATTGCCGTTCTCACTTTATTTGTTTTATTCGAAGTCGCTTAATTGGTTACTCATTTATCACCTCTTTCGAGTTTCGACTTCGATATGGATAGAATCCTCGACTTATAGTTTATTATTACTAAGTACAAACCACAAAAGTATTTTCGTATTAATTCTTCAATGATCATTTATCACGGGCAACGAACGTAACTAATAATTCACCATAAATTACGGAATAAATACCGTCGACTTCAAAAGCGACTAAACGCGTCCCCTGGAATTATGATGAAGGAACAAATCAATCCCCCGTCCCATAGATATTACCATCTACACCAGAAAAAAATCGATCGAAACCGGCAAACGTCTATACATAATAACTGACATTACCTTCTGTCAACGCACGGTAAAAGAAGTTACAAAGAAAACAACTCTTCCTACTTTGAAAAGCTTCGGTGTCGTGTTGCGGAGGGTGTAATTTCTCCCCACGCTTGACCGCGCAAGACAGGTACAGGGAGTAAACCCACGTCTACAGAGTGTGAAAACTTGAGGTCGGTAGGTTTCTAAAGACCTGGCTCCTTTTCGAAACCTCGAGTGCGTCTCGATGTGAATTGCATGCCATTGAGGATGAATCGAATCGAATCGAGTTCGTGATTATATATTCGCAGTGGAATTACCCAGGCTCAAAGGGTGTCCGTTTCGCCGCAGCCCCGCGGTGTCAGTCGAAAGGGCGAGTGCCGTTCACGCTTTGGAAAAGTTCTGCAGGTTTTCTCCTGAAACGAGGAGTCCGAGTTTCGCGGTTTTCCTCGCGCAAAGGCTTTCGAGAGGCTACTGTGCTTCGCCACGGCTCCGTAAAGCCTCGTATAATGCCGAGAGGCGCTTCTCTTTTCGTTTTTCTCCTTTTCTCATGTTTTGCTCCCCTTCCTCTTCTCTAACGATGAGCGACAGTCGGCACGGATGAAAAAGAATTACGCAACAATTTATATTCATCATCCCCGTTTGTGCGGTCCTTGCTCGACCGTTTGCCGAGCGTTCCTTTTTCCGCGGTTGCCCCGGTAGGACCTCACCCCATTAAACACTTCAGAGAAGTGCCGAGAACGTTGTTGTCTTTTCTTCGCATTGTCGGCGCGTTCCACGAGATGTTACACCCTGCGGGGCGGGTGCGTTTCCAGAACGTCGCAAACCGCGGACGTTGTGATACCCGGATCGGTGATGCCAGGATCGGTGATGCGTAGACCAGCGAAACTTGACAAGAGGAGCAACAAGGGAAAAGATCTCTCTGTTGTGTCACCCTGAAATAGGGGACGAGATTAGAGCGATAAAAGGGAAGGATTTTTTGACAATTCAGCTTTGCGGTTTAATTATACTCTTACATACTTTCAGGGTGGGAACATTTGTTCTGGCCACAAATGACAATATCATTACAAGAGTACGGGATCGATTGAATTTTGTAATCATTAATTATTCATTTACGGATATCAAGTAGAACGTGATCGTTTCACCGACGCATAAAGAACATGTGAAAATTGTTTTAGCTTTCATTGCTTTTCTTTTTCTACAAATTCTTTCAGATTTCGTAAATGTGAGGTTTAGGGGACCCACTTCCGATGACCTTGACCTTGACATATGTTGTCAAGGTTACCTTTCTGAGTGACCTCGACAGGGCTTTAGCCGTCGCTTCTTGCTTGTTAAAAAGGTATTAACTAAATAATTTGGATGAATTGAACGTACGTTTTCGACCCTAGGTTTACATTTAACCTTGACCTTGACATATATTGACAAGGTCACTCTCTTGAGTACCCTGCACGAGTTTTTCGTCGTTGCCCATTGTTCGTTTGTTTGTTCTCGTTGCTAAATATACATCCAAAGACTCGTGTATTACTGCAAGTCACTGGTAGTCGGCCGGATTCTAACTGTTAACCTAGCCTAAACCCACATTAACTCACATTAATCATTCCAAATATTAAAAATACGATATATAAAGTTACATACATTAATATTTTCAACATGTGTAGAACGAATTAATTTGAGTTGATTTGGGTTTAGGTTAGATTAGTTGACAGAATCCGGCCATTTTTGGACTACGACCATACATCAGATTCTAATTCACTTAATGATGTTTACTTATCATAGCTTCATTCCGTTATCGTGCAAACGCATTTTGCAATTTCAAAGAACTCTTTGTCTGGAATTGCGCGCATAACTGTCTCATTACACGACGAATTGACCATGAGAAATGACAAAATCTCAACAGGAACAGTCAAAACGGAATAGTGAGTGTATGAATATTTGCATACAACGCGTATATACCAGGTTCTGAGTCTTTAAATGTACCCCCGGTGTCGGAAACATACGTTCAACGCATAAAAATTATTTTATTAATAACTTTTTAACAAGCAACGAGAGACGGCTAAAACCTTGTGGAGGTCACTCAAGAGGGTGACTTGACAACATATGTTAAGGTCAAGGTTATCGAAGGTGGATTCCCTAAACCCCGCATTTACCTCAGATTCTAAAACAAACCTCAGGAGATTTATTTTAATGAATACTAGTTATTTTTATGGACTTCCGAATGTTTCACTTTGCTAAGTTATCCTGAGAGCTGAACTGTGCTCCTATCAGGGGAGATTCACCCAACGATAAGGATGACTTGGTACAATCTTTCGATATCAAAGACCAACCGATAAGTAAAAACGTATCACAAAGACTAGATCTCATGTTGTTAGGCAAAGGATCCCATTGGTATTTTTCTTTTTCAATATTCTTTGTTATTCAAAACGAAAGATACTCAAAATCATGTTTCATTATATCATCCAGCTTCGGTACATGGAAGTGAATAGGTGAAAATCGGAAAACTACAGTAAAGGAAAAAGTAAATAGAGACGTTCCATATCGTCCTGGTCCCGTCAAAAGGGTGGATTTGTATCAGTCGACGCCCTGACGAATGAACCGAAG